ATGAAGATGTGAACCTGTATCACAGGGTTGATGTGAAGATTAAATGAATGTATGTCTGTAAAGTATTTAGTGAGGTACCCAGCCCAGAGTGAGGGGTTCTCAACTGTTTTATTTCGTGCCTTCTACTGTACACACTTAATCCAGCTGTTGGTAGTATGTGTGTGTTTGGGGTAGGGGGCAGGTAACAATAAAGTGCCTCCCAACAATTCAGACTGCCTTCTGAGAATGAAACTAGTGAAAACACTATACAGAGAGTAGAGGATTAGCCATAGATAGAAATAAACCAAATGAAATTGCCTATAAATAATGTAACTGAAGATGTGAGCACTCAAACCGAAGATGTGAGCACTCAAACCGAAGATGTGAATACTCAAGACTGAAATGATGATCTGGAGATAATCGCAGGGGAAGGGATTAGAATGAAATTAAAATTTAGTAGACAGAAATCTAATTGATTGTATCTTATTCTATTTAGGGAAAGATTATGTGAACAGGATGGAAGCTGTCAGCCTGGTACACAGTAAAAGAAAGCCTGGGAGCCTGAAGTTGGCATTGCTTATCTTGCCTTATCTAGGGCAGAAATATCGAAGGGATGGATTCTTTTGTGAGGAGTGATAGTCCATTAAACCATCATGGAATGGAAAAGTATCTCAAAACATTTGTCTTCTTTGTGTTCTGATTCCATGTTGAAGCAGTTTCAAATCACTAATTTTTCACCATTAACTAGAATTGACTCAATGGCAACCAACAACAACAATAATTTAAATTTTCAGATATTTGATATGGGGGGCAGCAGGTGGTTTAACTAGATGAGGACCGGAAACCTTCCAGGTATAAGACAAGTATACCTTCTAATGTAAATTAATAAATTAGTGTCTTGTGTCTGTCCCTGAACCAATCCCTAAACTGCCAGTCTGATTAATATATTTTAGTGTGTAAGCATCTGTATGCTGAAGACTCCCACATTTTTATCTCCAGCCCATACCCCTCCTCTGAGCTACAGATTTACATATCCAACTGCCTACCTAACATTTGCATTCAAGACTGAGGGCTAAAACATGTCCCTTGTTTAATCCACCGTGTAAGCTGAGGCTTTTTGGTAGTAAGCCACTGATGTCTCAGCTATAAAAATCCTGTATCGCAGTGTAACTATTTTTATATTCCCTTCTGGTCTCTGTCTTAGTTATCTAGTGCTGCTGTAACAGAAATACCTCAAGTGGGTTGCTTTAGCAAACAATTTATTTTCTCACAGTTTTTAGGAGGCTAGATGTCCAAATTCAAGGCACTGGCTCTAGGGGGAGGTTCTTTAAAGGTCCCCTTTGGGGGAAAATCCTTGTCTCTTTCAGTTTCTCTTCCTTGGTTCCTTGGTGATCTCCGCATGGCATCGTTCTTGCCTCATTTGTGCTTCCTTGGTTCTGTGCCTGATGTGCTCCTTTTACATCTCAAAAGTGATTGGCTTGAAACACACCCAACACTGATATGGCCTCATTAACATAACAAAGAAAACCGTATTCCCAAGTGGAATTACATCCACAGGTATAGGGATTAGGATTTACAACATATAATTTTGGGGGATACAATTCAGTACATATGAGACATAGTTTTACATAATTGCTGTATCATAGTGTATGTATTATTTTACATTTTTCATTTTAATATTTTTATGATGAAAAATACTACATGCTAAATACATAGAAACCAAAAATTATTAGTGGTTATAGGGGAGGGGTTATAGGAGTTATAAAAGGAAGGGAGAAAAAAAGGAGATTTTGCTTAGGGGGAAATGAATTTGTTAATGGTGGTAGAATAAGTTGGAAAAGGATAGTGAGAATGGTTGTACAACTTGTAAAATGTAATCAGTGTTACTAAATTATACCTGTAGAAATCATTGAATTAGCATATGTTTTGTTATGCATATTTTCACCACAATAAAAACAAATACTTCATGCTTAGAGAAATGTAGGAGTGGAAAACAAAAGAAAACTATCATGATATATTTCTACCACATACAGATAGGCACTATTAACAGTTTGGTGTATTTCTTTGTAGTCATGTGTATATAAAATTTAACATATTTAGATTAAGATTATACTCTATATATAAATGTTAGTTTCTTAAACTTAGTGATGCTTAAACATTTCCCATCTTTTAAAATACTTTTTCAAAACACTTAAATGACTTTATTCTATCATTCAGATGTACCACATACTCATTTTAAGTTGGTTCCAATTTTTCACTGTTAATGCTTTGAGAAATACCATATTTATCCAGGAGAGAGATGCCTGGACCAAAAAAAGTATCCTACTTTGGGATAAAGTGGGAGAAGGACAATTGGTTGATGCCATTATTTTTTAGTTTGTGGTACCCTTATAAATAGACCTTCATTCTGTTTTAGGAAAGGAAAAAAAAGGTTCTCCTGACTATTATTAGGCTCAACATTAATTTTCTTCACAACTTTTATTAGCAATATAGGAAAGAGGCAAATTCTAACTATTAGCAGACAGTTGCAGCAAAAGAAATGTTAAAGTGAAAGGTTTCCCTTCCTTTGGGGGATCTGAATTTCCTTTCCAGACTCTCCAATTAGGCATGTCTGCTCATTATACCATGGTGGGGGTGGGGTGGGGGGCGTGGGGCAAGGGGGACAGCTACATTTTACCCAATCTGGAGATTATGTGGTGGCCTAAAATTAAAAACATGAGTATATAAGGTGATGTATATAAGATATTTTGGAGACCCTGGAGTTATTCAGAAAGATAAGGTGGCAACCTCAGAATCAGCTGAAGTAGCTGTGAGAGACCTGTAGCATGGACAGGGAAACCAGTGGCTTCCAACAGAAGCTCCAGACAGAAAGGGCAGATACTTTGAGTTGCAAGCATGTGCAGATACCCCTGTGCATGCACATGAGAGAGAGAGAGAGAGAGACAGAATATAAAGGTTAGCAATCTGTCCAACTTCAGGGAGGACAGTTATTTTAGACATAAATCTTGTTTGCCTTACCAGTTTTTTCTTTACGTTATACTCCTGGTTTATGTTCACTCAGAATAATTGCTTATTATATTCATTTTCTCCAGAATAGAAATAATTTTCTCTGTTATGAAATCATTTGAAAATAGAAGAAAAAATTAAGTTGTAATTCTATACCCTAGTACAACCATTGTTAGCATTTTGGATCTTTTCTTTTTGTATTTTAACTATTTGTAATCAAACCTTACAATTTTGCATTCTACTGTTATTTAGCATGAGAAAATGCTAGATGCCTAAAGTACTTAGCACATAGTAGACACTCAGTAATATTTATTTAATGAAGAATGAATTACTGACATATTTTACATAATCTTTTGAATATCATTTTTAATGAGCCATCAAGTGACTGTATAATAGTTGACTTAACCATTACCCTTTTCTTGGATATTAGGTTGTTTCTAATTTTTTCTATTTTAAAAATACATTGCATATTTTGATATAGGTAGCTTTTCCTGATGCATATAGCTTTTCCTGTTCCATATAGCTTTTCCTATGTATAAGATTTTTTCTTTAGGACAGATTTCCAGAAGTGATTATGGGTCGAATTAACTGTTAGTTAGAACTCTTGGTTGCAAGGGACAGAAACACAGTTGAGGAATGTTTTGGCTAATATTACTGGGGCATCCAGGAAAAATCTTGTTTCACCCCTGGCTATAGCAGGTGTTCCAGTACACAGCCACGGCCTTGTCTCTTGTTTACCAATGATCTTTGCTTCCCCCTGGCAGTTTCTTGCCACCTGGTGGTAAAGATGGGTATTGGTAACTTTTGTAGTTTATAATCATGACAAAAGTGTTAAGAAAGATGGTTTGATTTAGCTAGTGCCTTATGTCTGTCCAGAACCAATCAGTTACTGAGGCCAGGGACATGAAGTACCTTGATTGACTAAGCCTGTGTCATGTGCCCAGAGTTGAGAGTTAGGTCAGGTCCACTCAAATCCCATGGACTGACTAGATTTATTACAGAATGTAAGGAAGGTAGTTCTCCCAAGGAAAGGACCTTGGGCAGACAGAAGTATATGTGTACTATGAAGGGTTTGAATATTTTTATCATTCTTGATATCCATTGCCAAATGATTTCCAAAAGTTTAAACTAGCCCTAGCAATATTTATTATGTTACTATACCCTCACCATCATTGGAGCCCTGGTGGTGCAGTGGTTAAGAGCTCGACTGCTAACCAAAAGGTTGGCAGTTCGAATCCAACCAGCTGCTCCTTGGAAACCCTATGGGGCAGTTCTATTTTGTCTTACAGGGTCGCTATGAGTCGGAATCGACTTGACGGCAACGGGTTTGGTTTTGGTGTTTACCATCATTGGATATTGTTGTTTTCTAAGTATTTTCTTAGGAGCCCTGGTGGCACAGTGATTAAGTGCTCACCTGCTAACCAAAAGGTCAGTGGTTTGAACCCACCGTTTGCTCAGCGGGAGAAAGATGTAGCAGTCTGCTTCCATAAAGATTACAGCCTTAGAAACTGTATGGGGCACTTCTTCTCTGTCCTGTAGGGTCGCTGTGAGTCAGAATCGACTTGATGGCAACAAGTTTGGTTTCTTTGGTTTTACATTTTTTAACTTTTGTAGGTAATAATACTGTATTTTATGCCCAGAGGTTTTTGTCTCTATTATTATTTTCAGAAAAAAAATTCCAGTGATTGATTGGAATGTTCTTACATCAAAGATATAAACATCTTTATACCTTTTGCTTTCAGAGAATTTTACCAACTTGTAATTCTACCAGTATTATGTGAGCGTAGTAATTGTGTCATATCTTTACTAGCACTGATCATTTTAAAGAATGTTTGCCAGTTGGTTAGGTACACAAATTGTCTTAATTTGCAGTTTTAAATTAAGGAACATTTTTCAGTGAAATGTTTTATTTTTCATTTGCATTCCCCAACTCTCATCTTCTCCTTACCCAGTCATTGATAGTATAAATACTAGATATACCCTGCGCTTCATTTTATTTCTCTTCTTGTGCCCAGGTCTTGTCCACCGAACTCACATGTCATCCTGTCGTGTAGATAAGCCCTCTGAGATAGTAGATGTCGGAGACAAAGTGTGGGTGAAGCTTATTGGCCGAGAGGTAAAGTTCTGTACAGTTTTCATGTGGTTAAAAATAATTAGAAAAAGCTGGAGTTTTACTGGTTCTTTATGATGGTGAGTGTGTATATATTGTTAACTGTGATAGATAATCTTATTTTTGAATCCTACCACTATAATCTGTCCTGAATTTAAAGCTTTTGGCTTCTGTCCTGCAAACTCAGAAGGAAGGGTATAGACTACAGTAAGTGCATGCTTGTAAAACTTCCCTCCTTGAAGCTCATCGAAATGGTGGGTGGGAGGAAAAAAAAGAGAGAGAGAAGAAAACGTATTCTATGGGACAAGTCTTTATCACAAACTTCAAAGAATGTCTGACAGGTAGACTTCAGTTAGCACAGGGAGTTGACACTCATTTCTCCTACTAATCTCTGGCACCATGCAGTATGGAAGAGGTGAGAAGGGTCTGTAGGAGCCTATTAACAACGACTCACTTGAGGACAGGAGAATTATGAACATACAACAGAATCGTGCTCTTCTAGCAGAGAATAGCAGGGAAGACAGGCCTGAAAGAGAAATCATTCGGCAATATTTGAGTGCTAACTAGGTGCTAGGTTCTGAGGATATAAGAGTGAACTAGACATAAATGATCCCAGCTGTCATGGAGAAGACAGATAAAAAATATAAACAAACATATACATAAAATAATTGCAAATTATAATAAGTGCTGTAATGAGTTCAAACAATATTGGAGGTGAATTTAGGTAAAATGGTCAGGAAAGACCTCTCTAAGGAGATGGCATATGAGCTGAGATTCAAAGGAAAAGGAGCTAGTCATGTGAAGAGTTAGGTTAAGAATATTCCAGGCAAAGAGAATAGCTGATGCAGAGACCCTAAAATGAAGAAGACCCATGTGGCTAACAAGTATCTTCACGCTTAAAGAAGCTCTAGACAAATTCTAAAAGAAGTTCTAGTTTGTGGAGCATTCTAAAACCCATTCTGGGCTAATGGAACTCTGAACTGATGGCTACACTTACCTGGAAGAAGCAGCTTTTACATTCTGCCTGGTTGCTTCCACAGACCTTGGATTTCTCAGCAGCCATTTCTGTCTTTATCCCAGGGGGACAGGAATGAGATGAGGACCATTTCCTAAAAATCTCCTGCTGCAGGGTCTGGATATTATGTTTCTTTGTTCCTTCAGGGTTCCTAGCACAATACTTCGTTCGTTATAGAGGCTCAACCAATGTTTGTTATGATGATGAAAGGCTTTGATTCTTAGTTAATTTTAGACCAGCAGTCTCTAGGTGTACTGAGAGCTTTTGGTGACTTTGTTTTTGTCTTTTTCAGATGAAAAATGATAGAATAAAAGTATCCCTCTCCATGAAAGTTGTCAACCAGGGGACTGGGAAAGACCTGGATCCCAACAACGTTATCATTGAGTAGGTAAAAGGTTTGCAAAGGCTAAAATCATTCTACTTCCCAAACCACAGAACGCTCTAGTGAGTCAGACTGAACTAGGAACTTATCGTTTATAGACTTAGTGAAATTGATGAGTTATATGACCTTTATTATCTTTGGTTTTTAGAACTATGAAGTGTAGATGATAATGTTTTACTTCATAGAGATGTAAGAATACAGTTAGTTAACATGCAAAACTCCTAGCATAGAGGTATTCCATCAATGGTTTTGTTTCCTTCCCATTAATCTCTTTCTACTTCTGCCCTTTAACTATTTAGCCAACAAGCATTCATGAAGTACCTATTATTTGCCTCTCTCCTAGTGATTTCTGCACTGGGGCTGAAAAAGGTAGAGACCGTGTGAGGGGAGAAGTAGGATAATCTAGGAGCAATTCCAGTGGGGTTTAGATTCTGGCATCTTGCTATACACTGTTTTCTGAACACATTTCAGTTGGCTCTTCTAACCTTTAATTTAGGAATAGAAGATTTTTTTTAATCCATGGAGGATAACATCTGGTTTTATGGGGAATTTGCTGTCTGTCTCAAAGCTTGTCTTGAATATATGCCAGTGATTTCTAACCAGGGATTCCTGAACCGCTAAGAGGTCTTGCAAGGGTCTTGGGGGTTGTACAGATAACTTCTGCCTTGGGTAACTGATTGCAGCATGAAGGCTGCTTCAAACCATGGGTGTTTTTTCATCCCATCCAGAAGCCAAAGGTTTCTCATCCCATGCCCACTCATCCTTCCTCCTCCAAAACCCCATGTTTTCATGAGTCAGGAGCCATTGCAGTGAGTACCACTCCTGACACCAATTATAAAAGGGTAAGAGTAGTAGTACTATCAGTAGTGTCAGAACCTGTTTAAATTCAGGGAGGTTAATGCTAATCAAGCTCAGCCCAAGGCTGATTCCTATGAGGTGGAGATCAGACATACCTCCACTCTTCAGCCTTTTTACCAATTCTGATACCAGCTGTCCCTCCCACAGGACTCTTTACTAGTCTTACAGGGTTCAATAATCCATTGCAATGCCACACAGCTCACAGACTGTACTTACAGTTAAGTGATTTATTAAGGAAGTAATAGGGTACAACTTGGGATCAGGATCAAAAGGCTACAACTCAGGATCAGGAAGCACAGGAAGCACACAGGCAAAGTCTCCCTTCTTCAGTGCAGGACAGCTCTCTTGGCCGTGCAGGTGTCTGTCT